AAGCCTTTTTTTAAAAAAATCCACAAATAAACATGGAATTTCTGTTTAATATGGTGGATGTTATTGGTTTTTGGAAAAACAAGAGAATAGTCACTCTTGAACGCAACCAAAAAGCAAAAGCCCTCTCTGGTATTGACAGCCCGGAAACCCGAGGACATAAACCTTATTTTTGAATTAGAACAACTCCCTCAAAAAAGGAGGCTCTGCAGGAAGGCCCTTTCTATTCCAAGCATTCTTGAAACTGGTAGCAAAGAGCAGACAGAGGTAAAATAAAGCTAAGAAGAAGTTTCCGAAAATCAGTCTCTCATTGGCAATCAAGGGATGTTCCCCTCAAAAAAGTTTATCTTTAGCTCTTTTTAACTTAAGCCTTTTCTGAGCTGGATAAATAGAATACATTTGGGTCCTTTATCCATCTTAATGCCTAATAAAGTGTTTGTTGTCTCTCAAAAAATAAAGACAGAGGAATAGCAATTTATAATTTTTTTCATGCATGTGTAACCTCCGTCTTGATGAATTGAGATAATTCTGGAATCAGCTGGAGTCACCTGTTCTTTGCTTACTTTAAATGATAATTGATGTCTGGGCACCTGGGCGGCTCAGTCAGCCGAGCAATGGACTCCTAATCTCTCTCTGCTCCAGTCATGATCTCATGGTTTGTGGGATCAAGTCCCACATTGGGCTCTGTGCTGACAGCTCAGAGCCTACTTGGGATTCTCTTTCTCTCCCTCTCTCTCTGTCCTTCCCCTGCTCATGGGTGTGCTCTCTCTCTTTCAAAAACATAAATACACTTTAAATGATAATTGATGTAAACCCATCTCTGGAGATGCTTACTCGGGCGCAGGTTGGAATAAGGAGGGGGGTGATCTCTGATCTTTGTCACTGATCAGAGAGCTGATCACCTCTGATCTTAAATTCCTATTTCTACTGAATTTTTAATCTCCTCTCATCCCACTTGCAGTGTCTGGACACTGACTATTTTGCTTTCCTAGATACCACTGACCCAAAGCTGTGTGTAGAGGAGAATTTCCCAAAGGTTTGAAACACAGAAATGGGTGCAACGGGGTAGAGCCCTTCACCATGAATGGTAGGTATCTGTGTTTATAAAAATAGCCTAGACATTTCTATAACCAACAGGCCCTCTTTTCTAAAAGAAGGACCCAAACTCCTCTCCACAGTGCCGCTTTCACCCCCTTTCCTTTTAGATCTTATTACCCCTTCTTTAAAGTTTTACTGGCCCCAAAGCCAAGATTCCTGTGAAGTAGTACCTTTCTCAAACTCACCCCAGACCAGTGCTATCCAATGGAACTTTCTCTGATGGAAAATATCTATAATTTGAGCTGTGCAATATGGTAGCCACATGTGGCTATTGAGTACTTAGAATGAATTAAATGTTACATTTAATTTTGATTAATTTATATTTACATTTACTAGCTACATGCAGCTAGTGATTATTATATTGGATAGCACAGCTCCAGACCATTCACTCTTGACCAAGAGGCCACTTTTTCCGAACTGGACAGACTTCTTAAAATATGTTTCTCAACAAAAATATTTAAAACCAGCAATAGTTAAAAAACAGGAATATAAAAAGCAGGATTTTTTTTCCTTTCCACTTGCTAAGTATCTAGTATGGTATGTGTCCGTTCCATGAAACTTAGCTAAAATAATTTTTTAAATGTGAAAAAAAAACCCTCAATTTAGCCTTCATTATTCTGTTTGCCTCAGCCTCGCTCTCTCAAACACATATTTTAAAATATATGCTTCTACATTTATTCAATGCCATTGTCCAAGTATAAACCGGTAAATCATGATTCTGTGTTCAAGTCCTTGATAAATAACTTCTTAGAGTAGCCAAATAATTTAATAAATCTAAGTCTTGGTTTTAAAATATATGATTTGTGTTCCTAATTTTTCGGATACACTCCAGTTATATATAGGTTTTTCTTTTGTCAATTGCATCTAAGGAGTTTTGGCATTCTGGACAGTGGGAGTATGGGCTTGATCTGGGGCTTAATATTCTTCCCTCTTGAATACTGAATATGGCCCTGCTAATGTACCACCCTGCATCAAATTGTTATTTCTTTTTGTATAAAGAATCAGTTCTGGAGCACTGCAATTCTTTTAAAGGAAGTATTACTTATCCACAGAGTGTAGATTTCATTTCACAATATGTATTTGCCTTCCACATTCCTTCCTTTAAAATGTTTACTACGAACGTTAATCTTAAACAGATGGGTTTTGTTTTTGGTGATTGACTGTGCATGTAATAGATGCTGTGAACCCTCCCCTGCACAAAAAGACTTTTGCTTTTGAGCCAAGGCCTGGCATGGTATTTCCTTTCTGAAATACTCCCTTGTTTCGTTATTTTCTTGTTCTACCTTTACATCTCTCCTGCTTTTTTTGGCACCCGGTCATTCAGGTGTTTCACATGAAAATGTAGCGTTTCTGTTTCTGAAGACACATGTATGCCCAAGCATTTCCTATCGTGACTCCAAATTGCCACCTTTAGGTCTGCTTCCATCCTTGCTGGGGAAGTAATGCCATCGTCTTCTTTCTGTCTTTAAAAAGAGTTCTGCAGAAGGAATCTTTGTTATTAGACTAGTAATTTATTCTCTTTTAATTTATCACATTAAGGGGCGCTTGGGTGGCTCAGTGGGTTAAGTGTCTGACTTCGACTTAGATTATGATCTCATGGTTCGTGAGTTTGAGCCCCACCTTAGGCTCTGCGCTGTCAGCAGAGCCTGCTTTGCATTCTGTGTCTCCCTCTTTCTCTGCCCCTCCCTCGTTTGCACTCTCTCTCTCAAAAATAAATAAACATTAAAAATTTTTTTAAATTTACCACCTGAAGTAAATTATCTACTTTTATCCAGTCAATAGTAGCTTCCAGTCTCAGCACCTTAACTTTTAAACTTTCAACTATAACGGTGCCTCAGACTCTTATTTTGTCACCTGCAATACAGAATCATTGACATGTAAAGTCACAAATACCTTTATTACATACTTTAACTAGAAATGTAACATAAGTGGATGAATTTCAAACGTGGGCTAAAAAGAAAATAACTCACAGCCAAACCATTCTAATGTAATCCTTACTTTATTCCTTTTCACATGCATGTTTTCACAGTTAAAATAATGATGTTGGTACAATTTCATGTCTTACTTCTTAATTAGTTAACATTTTATTAGATGGCTTTTCCGTGTTGTGAGTCTCCTCAGACCCCTTTTTGTTCACAGCCATCGTTTCGATTGGCTACATATTATTATTCAGTGGCTCACCCTATAATTTATTTAAATAATCCCCTCATGGTGAGCATTTGGACTACATCTAATATTTTAGTCTGATAAAGAAGACTCCTAGGAGCACCTTTGTGTTTACAGCCTTTTACATATTTTACATATTTTGTTTAACCTGACAGTGGAATTATTTATCTGTTTATAGATAGCGTATCAATCTGACCAGATCCATGTCTAATAGAGTAAATTTATCCATGTTTATTGTTACTTTACTGAGATAGTTAAATTTTAGAACCCTAACATCAGGCAATGTTAGATTGTTAGATTCAACAACCAGTTAGAATATTGGGAAGAGACAATGTTCTACAATGTGAAATATATTAATTAATTTACTCCAAGGGTCCTTTTGAGTGCTCTGTCATGTACTATTCCTGACATACAAAGAAGGCTGATGATGACCAAGGGAGGCATCATTCCCATCTTGAAGAAGCTTTCATTAGTACAGGTGATAACGGACCAGTCTACAGAGTGGCCGGTACTTTGAATGGGAGATAGATGTCCTATGGAAACACATAAATAGGGCTCATCCCCCAATCCAGTGTCTTGTGGGGCTTCCTAGAAGACGTAACATTTCTATAAATCCTGAAGAGTAAAGAAATAGCAGAAACCTAAGGTGATATAGGGAAGGAGGGTAAATGTACTTCAGTAGAGATAATGGCACATGGAAGATCACTAAGCAAGGAGCCCATGTGGGAGATAAAAAATGAAAAGAAAATAGTGTGCCTGGAGAGGGGATTGTGTGTAGGAATATTTGAACATTTCTTTTGCATTTAACACACATCAGTAATTGGATTTAATCCTTGATTTATCTATTGAGTTGATACTCCAAGCTTTCTTTCCCACGAAAGTATTCCAGTCCTAATATAAGGCAGTGAATTAGAGGTCAGTCAGTTAAACTGCCAGCATCAGATGATATCAGTTAGGTTATTGTAACAGCAGAAGAATTTTAAAAGATATTATTTATGTTTATAATGATCATTTCAAGGCCTATGGAGTGATTTGAGGGAAACTCTCAAGGGAAGTTCTGTTCAAAGAGAACTCACATAATTCTTTTTCTGAAGACTGAAATTCCTCTTGTTTCTTTCCCCTTTGGCTTAAAATATTGAAAACTTTTGTTAATTTGTAAATTTATTAGAGGAAAGGATTTCATATTCTATTCCTTTCAGCTGTAAATACTTTGCAACAAATTATTTTTTTCAAAGAGTTGTGTCCTTAAAGAATGGGTCACAGTACAGTTAAATTTTGACTGTGACTTTTGAGTGAAACAGTCCCTAATCAGGACTTCCCTTTGGAATGTGAAAGCTCAGGTGTGGGTATCAGACTTCTGGAGGACTTGGGAAGCAGGGGTGGAGAGTGAAAAGAAGATATTAACCCCAAAATGATGATGAAATAGTTCCAAATCATACCCTATTCAAATTTTCCAAATCCCAGCCCTATCCAGCATAGGCATTCTAGAGGAAACTAGAACATACCTTGGGAATGTAACTTCTTTTAAACATAAATGTGAGACCTTTTTTGCTGCATGACTAGTTTCTCAATATAATGTGGACCCACAGAGTCATGGTTTCTTTTGTACTGTTAGCTCAGACATTAGGAGGCACACCCCTGTATCTTAAGGAGTCATGAAGAGCGGCACTCGCTGGGCAGGGTAGTGATTAATGCAGTTACTGATGTGGAATGTTGGGGTTTGGAGCTAACGGTCAAGGAAGAATTCTTATGAGCCCACAGGGATGGGACCGTTGTCAGAAAGAGCTGCACTGAGGTCGGGCAGGTGACTGTTTATATACTTTAGAGTTGGGACGAGATTAGGGATAATGTAAGTATCTAAGGAATTTTGCAAGCAAGGTTTCTGTGACCTTGAGGGGGCTAGCTATTGTTTAGAAAAGGTCATTTATTATTGTCTAATAAAACCTTAGTCATGAGACCCTTCAGATGTTTAGTAGTGGGTCATATACTTGGAGGATGATTGCCAACGTATATCTTGGTGCGTAGAGATAAAGGAGGTTTCCAGAGGAATGTCTACATATTAAAGGAGACTTCTTGGATCCTGGAGGTTGGGATAACGTTAAACTAAGACTGCCTTTTGCCTTTAGCAAAGTGTTAACATCAAAACAGCTGAGCTCCTGGAAGAAGGTCACTCTGCCTGTTTCAAGGACTTGTCAATGGGCTGTAAGTAGCAAGGAAATTTTTCTCTTGCCTTTGTTTCCCACATCATTGCTGGCGCCAAAATTAGGTGGAGTAATTTAGCTTCGATTTGGCGACAGCAATCATCATAATTAATATTTTCAGTCCTATCATATGACACTTGCAATCCACTATTTCAGTACTCTGACAGTCATTTGACCATTATGAATATTCTGATTCTCCTCCTTCTGGGTATGTTGTAGTTCTTTTATTCCCTGTCTTCCTTTAGCTTTTGATGATTTCCTTTGGCCAATGAAATGGGAACGAGAGTGGTGTGGGTCTCTAACAGATGGAAGCATTAACCAGTGGAAGATGGGATCAAATGGGCTCAAACCATACAGATTTAGCCATCATTGGGAGATGTGGAATTGTGAGGACTTTTGAATGAAGAATACATTCTCATAATAGTCAAAGCAAGAATGGAAATGGACAATTACCAACCAGGATTTGTCTGGCTATGCTTCCCTTGTTATGTGGAAAAGCCAGCATTCGTCACACTCTTCCAAAGTAGTCCTGAAGGTTCTCAGGAAACTCTTACTGTGTTTTGCAGCCAATTCTTTTGACTTCAATGTGCCATCTCTGATCATCTCTTCTGACCCAGATCACTATGGCAATAAGAATGAACAAAGCAGCAGCTTTTTTGAAAGTACACGTTAGAAATGCTCCTGCCACCATACTGTAATTGCTGAGCCAACGTGCACTGCCTTATGTCAAGGGCAAAGGCAGCTAAACCAAAGCTCTGACTGTAGCAGTTAATACAAATGTCCCTTCTCATTGTTATGGATGCTTCTAGCATTGATATAGAAATGCCACGGAATCCCAAAAATCTCACTTATATTAGTTTGTATTCATTTTTTTCATTATAGTCCTGTCTCATAGTACAAATATGAGGTCATGGTAGCTAGACCAGAGTGACAGACAGAAAGGGGGCTATGCTTTGAATCATCTTTACCTCTTTTCTGGCGCTGATAGTACTCCAAATAAACCAGTGTATCTGAAACAACAATATTTGGGGTGTTTTTTAAATCTCTGTTGTGGCACAATCCCTCTAAGCCAGGTGACCAGTGCATGTGGCAGAGACTGCCTGTCCCCCAGTACATTCTTCATTTCTTTATTTAGTAGCAAGATTTGAGCTTCACCTGGCACATGGTCTTTAAAGGCTTGTATGGATTTTAATTAGGTGGACATCTCTTCCATTTCTTATTTCTCCTTGCAGCTGGTCGGATCAGAGATATGATGTAGTGGGGGAACTCAAGCAGCCACCTCAGACCATGAGGCAGAAACCCCATGATGGCTGGGCAACAAGATACAAGAAACTTGAGTCCTTGACACTGTGAAACTGCTTCTCTGTCTTGCATTATTTTCATGCAGATTGTTAAATGAGACATACAAATAAATTTCTATCTAAGTGTACCTACTTTTCTTTTCTTTCTTTCTTTCTTTTTTTTTTGTTACAGAAGATAAGTTTGTAGCACGACTACTAAAATGAGAAAATTGAGACAGTGAAAAACAAGCTATCACAGATTTGAAGAGAATTGGAAAGATCAGAGTTCACTGGGGTGAAAGATACTTAAGGTAAACCAAAGAAATTAAAAATGCATTGTTGACAAAATTACACACACACACACACACACACACACACACACACACACGTGTTTATTCAGTATTAGTAGAAGCAAGTGTGAGGTTTTTCCAAAAGAAGACACATTAGTTAACTTACTGTAATCCTTCAACCCATATTGTCAGGTTGGAACATCAAAAAATACCTTTGAGAGCCAATGAATTTCAACAGCTAGCATCGCTTTCTGAGTCCACCATGGGAAACAAAACTGAGGCTCTCATTCCACAGCATAGTTTCATTAGAAGAATAAGACAGTAGAAGAAATACTTCAGTATCTTTTGTATCTCTACATTCTCTATTCCCTACTTCTGTGCCAGGTTATAAAAACCAAGTTGCCAGAATCTTCTGAGTAAATTTTCTTTCTGGAAGCACATGAATGTTCTTTACTTCCAGAAAACTTGCAGCCATAGTATTCCCATCCCCCAAGCCCATGGATTCTCTGCAGGCTATAAAAGATGGCATCGGCCTCTGGGCTGATTGATCAAAACCCAGTCCTAAATGGATCACCTTCGTTCATATAATAAATAAGAACTGTTTGGTTGCAATTAACAGTCACCCTGACAAATGGTGACTTAAACCATCATGATATTTTTATCCCAGTAAAATAAGAAGTCTAGAGATAGGAGGTTCCAAAATAACTTCAGCAACATAATGACATCATCAAATTCCTAGATGCCTTCTCTCCTTCTCCGTGGCTGATCTCAGCATTGGCTTCCATTCCTTGTCAATACACAGCCCATGCTCACATGCTTCTTCACTCCTATTCAAAAGCAGGAAGCTGGAGGAAGCACTGGAAGCAGCTTTCTCTTTGTACACCTCTGTCAAAATCAAGGAAGAAAATCCTTGCCAGAAGCCCTCTAATTCCTTGCTACTCAGACTGTGGTCCTCAAGTCATAGCATCATCCCTCAGCTAGCAACTAATTAAAATGCAACGTCCCAAGCCCCATCCTGATGACTGATTCAGATCTATATATTAACGAGATCCTCAGGTGATTTGTGTATACAGTCAAATTTGAGGAGGGCTGCTCTAATGAACTTTTTCTTACCTCTTTTTAGCCAGAGCTTGATGACATGACTTTCCCCAGGTAGAAGGGAAGATGGGATAAGTAATCATTTTTTTTTCTTTTTTCTTTTTTCTTCTTTCTTTCTTTCTTTCTTTTTTTTTTTTTAAGAAATAGGAAAGAGCAAGGGTGCCTGGGTGGCTCAGCTGGTTAAACATCCCACTCTTGATAACAGCTCACGTCAAGATCCCATAGTTGTTGGGTCAGTCCTCAGTTGGGCTCCATGCTGAGTATGGAGGCTGCTTGGGATTCTCTCTCCTTCTTTCTCTGCCCCTCCCCCACTCACACATGTGCTCATGCACTCTCTCTCTCTCCCTCTTTCTATCTCTCTCAAAATAAATAAATATTGAAAAAAGAAATAGGAAAGAGCCAATAAGGTGGGGAATCTTGGGAGGTGTCCCAAGGGAGGGACCATGCCCTATGTCCAGGGACAGGGTACTATAGAAGGCCATGCTCCCCACAGTTCTTTGCTGCTCCCTGAGGCTCTCTGCGATCACACAGCCTGTGAAAGCTGCCTGCAGAATGAAGCACAGGCCTATCAGCAGTATTTTTAACAGCAGGTTGAGACTTTACCCATGTGATTTTGGAAAGGGTTTTTGTTTTTACAATCTCGAGGTCTAAGAGTGCTGTGTAACCCAGGAGAATTCAAAGGAAAAACATTACAGCTTGTATAATTGCAGGGAAGGTAAAAATTGTAAAATACAGGGTTTTTTTCAGTTGGTATGAAATATTTTTTCACTCGAGCAGCTAAAAACAATCTATGTTCATGGACATCTTTTTTTCTGCTTTGCATTGGTTTTCTGACCTTAGCGAAAATTTACCAAGAAGGTTCTTTGTAAAGATGAAGTAACTGCCTTTGAGGATTTGGGTCTCATTTTAAAAATGAAAATTTTGCTATTTTAAGGTCAAGCTATTAATAAGCTAAGCCTTCTTAACTGTCTCATAAAGTAAATTTTTAAAATGTTTTTAATGTATATTTATTGACTTTTAAGAGAGAGAGGGAGCACAAGTGGGGGAAGGAGAGAGAGAGAGAGAGGGAGACTCAGATTCTCAAGCAGGCTCCAGGCTCTGAGCTGTCAGCACAGAGCCCGATATGGGGCTCCAACTCGTGAATGATGAGATTATGACCTGAGCCAAACTCAGATGCAAACCTGAGCCACCCAGGTGCCCCTCATGAAGTAAAATTCTAAAAGATTTTGTAACGACACAAAGTAGGATAAAATGGAATATAGAAAAAATCAGAAAATTAAGGAAAAGTGTGGGAAGACTTCTCCGTTTTGGGGCAAGTACCTTGTAGATGGCAAGCTGAGCCCATTTCAGTTTGACTTCCTGGTGATTATGTGATGATTTACATATGGCAGCATAAAAACAACAGATGTCTTTTTTGTCTCAAAATACCTCTGCATGTTTATTTGAAGGCTCCTACATCATCGTTCATTCCCACTGGTGACAAAGGGCATTTTGAGAATAGTTTCGGGCTACCTTCTGATCTTCTTCCAACCAAATCTTTGTTTAACTCACTGGAAAATGTATGCTCCAAAGGAACTTCTTTTTCCTGCGGCCTTACCTTTGTGATAGGATAGAGTCCACGGAGTCTAACTCCAGACCAAAAGAAATCTTTGCAGGGAAAACCCAGAGTAACCTTCGATAAAGAAATGGCTGTGTGACTTCAGAAATGCTGCCGACACACTTGACAGAGTGTCCTTAAAACAAAAGCGCGAGTGAATCAGTGGTCATATGCAGGCAAGCCACGGGTTGGAGGATGTGTCACTTCTTACAACATTTGGCACGTTTCAAGTGCACATAGTTCTCATCGAATTGGCTGGGAGGTGCCTACAGAGATCTGCTGGCAGACCGCGGTGCCCATGAAAACAACTGTGAGTTTCAATAAAAATCCATGCCGTCGGTGCCAAAGCAAACTTGTGAAAATTGTCCACTTTCAGGCAACCCGTACAAAAACCTTAGGAGGGCTGAAGTCACTATTTACCAGGGTCTCTATAAGAGCCAAGAGAAATGTATCCCTGGTTTATCTGGACACAGATTCTTGCAAATGGTAAAGCCATAGGGAGCCAAATTTGCATTTGGTACCCGGACCGTGGATTTGGCTCAGCCATATCTGGCTGGTGAAAATAGTGGGGCTCCTTGCTCCTCTTTCTCGGAGATGCTAAATGGAGATTTCAAGGATATGGTGAAACTGGCTCTTAAATAAAGAGGATTTGGTGATGAATTGGAAGTTTGGGGGGAGTCCCGTGTTTATTCTTTCAGATAGACTGTGCCCATTGAACTGAAAGGAAAGTAATGTTTTCAACAAAGCCAAAAAAGCAAGTTCAGTTATGAAACTCAGAGGCCTTAAGAAAATATTTTTTTTTCTTTTTGGTATTTGAGTTGCAGATTCTCGTCAAATGTGTGTTGTGTCCAGTCTGCTTAGTGGTAAATCAGAATGTCACCACTTGATCTTGGCAAGGTTACCTGGTAATGAGGATGAAAGGTGTGTGGAACAATTTGTGTCTATCTGAGTCACGGAGTTTTCCTTCCACAGGACAAATGTGTCATCTGTTTTGTCATGCCTCATCTTGAGCAATAGAAGCTGGGGTGGCCATAAAGAGGAATGGAAGGTCACTAGCCTGTAGGGCATGAGACAGTATTTCCACATAGGTATATGTCTGTCCATGCATAGGCTTTCTAGAAGGATGCACAAGAAACTGGTAATAAAGATTGTGGCTAGGTTAGGTCCTGGAGTGGGAGCCTGGTGAGTCAGAGGTGAGAAAAGAATGTATTATTTCATGAATATTCTTTAATTTTTCATATATGTGCCTCTCCTACTCAAGAAAACCTCTACACATTGCCTGTGTTTGTGTGCGTGTGTGTGTATGTGCGTGTGTATACACACATATCTATGTATTGCTCATTGAAAAAAAATGAATGTAGTAGCAAAGGACAGAGCAAACAAAAAGCATATTCTTCTTGGCTCTACGTTAAACTGGATGGGTAATTTCTCCCTCTGAATCTTAGATGACTCTACAAAAATGAAGAGAGATAACGTTTAGACAATAGAGATGGCTAATGCTTGTTAAAGCAGGGATACCACAACTATAGAAAATAAACATTCTCATTTTGAGGCTGATATTGGAAAGACACTTTATCATTAACACTGTGAATCCCAGGCAGTACCTCCCTAGCTGGCAAGTTCAAAACTCAGTGGTTGTGATGGGGCACCTGGGTGGCTCAGTAAGTTAAGCATCCAACATCAGCTCAGGTCATGATCTCATAGTTGGTGGGTCCGAGCCCCGTGTCAGGTTCTATGCTGACAGCTTGGAGCCTGGAGCCTGCTTCAGATGCTGTGTCTCCCTCTCTCTCTCTGCCCCTCCCACACATGCTCTGTATCTCTCTCTCTCTTAAAATAAATAAACATTTAAATTAAAAAAAAATTCAGTGGTTGAGTTTGAGTAACTGCCCTGAGAAGGAGCATTAGGGAAGAGAGGGAGTTGTTGTTTGGAGTGCAGGCTGCGGGGACAGGAGAGTGTAGTGGCTGAAGCCTCACAGGATGTAACAAACAGGTCACATTCAAAGTAGGACTTGGTTACAACGATGTTCACCTGACGGGGATCATCACCCCTCAAGAGCCTCAGTCAGTCTGTAGTTCATCTAAGAGTGAATTTTGGTATGGCTGCCCTTGACCAGTCCAGTTGAACTTGTCTTAAGATCTTCCTATCACCGGGCTTTGGCCTTGAACCTCAGAGCATGCACTTGCCCACGCTTGAACAGCTCCTAGCTGTATTCCTGCCTACTTTCATTCCATTACACCTTTCATGGCAGAAGGCTCATCTCAGCTCTCTGTCCTTGCCCTTCCCATAACTGGCTTTTACACTGCAGAAGTGATTTTACACTCAGTC